CAGGAGACTTCAGTGGGTGCTGTAACCCTTCGGTATGGTGTAGATGCCTATTGATACACTCTTTGTGGTTTGTTTTTTTTTTTCTCCTCTAGTTCTCTTTTAATATGTTTGATCACCCCATTCCTCGAGTTTTCCAGAACCGCTTCTCAACCCAATACCGCTGCTTCTCGGTATCCATGCTTGCTGGACCTAATGACAGGTCAGATGTGGAGAAAGGCGGGAAGAGTATGTGCATGTTTTATTTTGACTAATAACCTGTTGGAAGAGTGTTTGTGAATAATGTCAAGTAATACAGCTTTTGGCCAAGTCTGCAGAAACGTTGTTGAACAGCACGGAGGCGTACCGTTGGCGTTGTGGTTGGAGCTAGAAGAGGACCCTGGGTGGGGCTTTAAGAAGGAAAGAGGAGGGGTTTATTGCATTAGTGTGTAATTAAAAAACTTACCGAGTGAGTCCTGGTTTATGAGCGTTAGAAGAAGACATTCTTCTCTTTTTAAAGTCTCTCGTTAAAATCTTAGGCCCATTATGAGCTATGGAAATTTATGATTAAGGACTTTTTTCCCCTCCTTGTTGTACCTCCCTTAGCTTGAACAGAGAATAGATCAGCCAACTTAATTTTCAGGCTGTCAGACTAATGCTATGTCGTTTTGAGTTCGTATTGATTTAAGAGCACCTGTAAGCCCAAACAAATAAAATTACTTTTAGGAAACATTTTTTTTAGGACTAGGTATTGTAAAACCTTGTCTTCTCTTTTATTCTGATTAAATTCTGAAATCTCCATGCTAGTACGTATATTTGTCATGACTAATTCTATTGAAATCTCTCGCTCAAAAATGAATTTGCAGGAGATTTTTAGAATCTCCTTTCCTTACAGGAGGCCTTAAAGAAAGGAAGGATAAGATTGTATGTTATGTACTCTTTGTACAGTCATACTTTTCCTAATCTTACATTCTTATTGATTTCTGCAGTAATTATGCCACCATCAGCTTTGGATCAACTCAGTAAGTGAATATTTTATTCTGGAATAACAACATTAGAGATATGAGCAAATGCGTAAGCAAATACTATGCTATTTTAGTTATGTATTGAAATCTGACTTAAATAGAGAATATATTGAGACTAGTTCAAAAGATGTATTTTAGAAATATTTTGTCTGTCAGAATTAATGGGGCTTGTCTCTCTTCAAGTACAGACATCTGAAGTGTTGGGCTACGTGACGCATGAATCAATATTTATTAACTATTAATTGTGTACTCAGTATAATGGTTACAATCTAGTAAATTCTTAATCTCAACCTGCTTGTTCTGGATGCTGTTGTCTGGAACAAAATTTATTTTAAAGACAAAATAAATTATAATTAACTTTGAAATGGGGAAAGATAACTGAATAAATGGTCTTTATTGGCCTTTTTAACTAAGGATTTTTCCCCCCTTCTGAGTTCTAGCCTTAATAGAATTTCTTTGACAAATTAGTTTAGTTGGGATTTAATTTTAAAATAGGCAGGGCCTGTTCAAATTCATTAGGTAGGAGCTAACTGATAATAGCACAAGGACATAACAGTAGTAGATTTCTCTGCTAATACCCACTACCTGCTCATCTCTGAGCTTGGGGAAATGTTGGAGGGGCATTTAAAGCTGTAACTGCAATGGCAATACAGTATTCGTCCATCTGCCTTCTCTCCTGGATTTGTAGTTTTGACCGATTGGGATAAGGGTCTGAGGGGAATCCCCTCCTATAGTCTGGCCCATTCTCTTGCTGATGTTCAATCTCTGAAAGCTTCAGAAATGTATTAGTGGCTTTTAACAAATAAGATTTTTTTCTCCTTTCTCATCAGGCCGACTTAATATTACTTACCCGATGCTGTTTAAGCTGACCAATAAAAATTCAGACCGAATGACGCACTGTGGAGTGCTTGAATTTGTGGCTGATGAGGGCATATGTTACCTTCCACACTGGGTGAGTTGTTTCATGCTGAACTGTCAAAACCTGAAGAGTAGGATTATTGAATTGCCAGTTTAATATTAAAGAGGTGAAGTGTTTCCTGAAAGTGTGTGCCTTTGCTAGTTGTGTTCCTACAGCAGTTTCCGGTCACAGCTCAAGTTTCCCTCCATGAGAGCTTAACTAAGTAAGCAAGTAGACTGCTTTTTAAGATGCACCTGACTGTTCTTCCTGAAATTAAACCATGGTAAACTGGTGCATTTCAAGGAAGATGGTGGCCCCATCGAAAATAGGTATACGCAAGGGAAGAGAATTAAAAACATTGGTCATGTTGATAGTGGTTTGTATCTTTGTTTTCATTCTTGCAGATGATGCAGAACTTGCTGCTGGAAGAAGGAGGCCTGGTGCAAGTGGAGAGCGTTAATCTTCAAGTTGCTACTTACTCAAAATTTCAGCCACAGAGTCCAGATTTTCTTGACATCACCAATCCCAAAGCTGTGTATCCTTCCTATTCAATTATGGAGCAGGGGACAAAAGTTTTTTCCCAAATTGGAATGATGAAGCAGAGCTAGCTTTTCAGTGTGAATCATACTCTTCCAGTAGTGGGTAACTACTACTGCTCCTTCTGAAAACAAAAAGGATGGAGAGCGTATGTACGTATGTACAGAGATGTTGCCAACTGCTGGTACAAAGTGTAGCCTGGAGTGCAGAAGCATGAATCTTGTCATAAAGTCCAATGAGTTTGAGCGTCCCTTAGAAGAACTTGTGCACCCTAATGTTTACTAAAAGGCTGTCTACAGTACCGATGACTTTTAAACCATGTTTGAGAGACCAAGGATGAGAGTTTTATAACATAGTAACTTTAAAGCTTTGATGTTGCTTTGAAAACAAATGTTTCATCTTAACATACTCCAAAGATTAGAAAATGCACTGAGAAACTTCGCTTGTCTAACTACTGGGGATGTTATTGCCATCAACTACAATGAAAAGGTACAGTATACAACACCAGTCTGTGCGAGTTTTGTTTGGATACCATCCATTTGAGGAAATAATTTTGCCCCATGTGAAAAAAGTCTGCCGTATTTCAGTAGATTGTGACCACATAAGTACTTTGACTACATCTTGTGAATAGATTTTTATAGATGAGTATTTCTGGCAGCACACTTGCACATTTGATGGATGTTGGTGCTAAAACAATCAACATGGAGCTGTGCGCTGCTATTGACAGGTAATCCCAGATGGTAGGTTTTGCAATTGGTTTTCTATTGGAGGAAAAAAGGGTTCAGTTAAGTCTTCTCCTTAGTGGCTGTTTAGACTTGTTTTTGACTCGGGAGAAAATAAAGTTTTGTGCAGTTGATGTTTTTGCAAGTCAAGGGACAAAATTTATCCTAAATTCACAACTTGTTTTCAAAAATACAGATTAAGGTACAGTAAAAGCTAGTTTCTTTAGCTCCAGCATACAGCAGTCTTCTAAGTTAAAAATGCGTGCTCTCAAGTTGTGTAGAGACCCTGCAGTATCCAGTCCTCAACATAAAGTGCACTTATTTCAATTTTCTTCAAGCTATCTGAAGGGAAAGGTTGAGATACGCTTTTCTTATACATAAGTTGAACTCCTTCATGTGCGAGCTTGAAATATTCATTGCTATTTCAGATCTACGAGCTTCGGGTAATGGAGACCAAACCGGATAAGGCCGTGTCCATCATAGAATGCGATATGAATGTAAGTTAAAGCTGATGTGGAAAGTCTGTTTTTACTGTGTCCTCCCAAAAGGAGAGGGCATCTCATTCAGTGATAGTGCTGCACACTAGGCACCTCTGATGCTGCAGGAAAGGTAAAATCAGATCGGATAGGGAAGATGACTCATTTGAGAGTATCCCATGTACCTTTGTGACCACGAGTGAGTTGCACTTATGTACCATCAGGTGACTGTAGTGCTAGAATTTAGTGTTTAGCTTCAATGTGTTTTATAATCTGAGTTTTATTTAACACTTTTGTCTTGATTCAGACTCTAGTGATATTGCGGGGTGCTGTTTTACTGCTCTGTTTCAATTACATGCTAAGACTCATTCCTGGGAGGCTTAGTCTTTTTAGTTCTGAGTTAAAATGTTTAACAAGCAAACATCAGATCTTTCTAGATCAAAGAGGAGTGATAGTTTGTGGAGTTTTGAGGAATAGCAATATAAAGCTTACGATTAAAAGAAAAATGTCAATCATGCTTATTTTCATGCTTCTTGTGTAAATAGGTGGATTTTGATGCTCCTTTGGGGTACAAAGAACCAGAAAGAAGTGCACAACATGAAGAGACCACAGTACGTTAAGCTTCTGTTCTTCCAAAGTGTGTTCCCTAGAAGTTGGCCTTGATTGTGATAGAGCAGTGAGGGCCAACATAATTTTCTTCTCCTGAAACAATTTCTTAAGACTAAACTTTACTTACCAGACATTTTTGCTTGTGTTACTTAGAATACAGTTGTTTACCAACTGTTGATTTCAGAAAGGGATTGTTCTGATTTTTTCTTTGGTCAGAAATATGTGGAACTGTTTTGATGTGTTCTGCATATCACAACACGAACACGATTAACTAGCTTGTTTTTTCCCCTCACAGGATGTTGAAGCAGACCATAGTGGATATGTGAGTGACATAGGATTTCGTGTAAGTCCCCTATTTCTGCTGGTTTCTGAATGTTGTAAAATGGTGAGGGAAAGCTATTCCAAACAACTGCAAAATGCTGGTACCTGTTCTTAGAGGTGCTTGTCATTTAACTGGCAAGTGTCTGTGAATGTTCTGTGGTGCTTACAGCCAGTAACGGTAGGACTTGCTGTCCTTAAGAGGGCAATCTATAAATGGCAGACCAAAACATGCTCCTACACCCAGGGTTCATCAGCTTATATGTACTAGAAAGAAACATGCTGAATCGAATAATTAACTAAAAAATGATAGTAAGCTTTTACAGAATATAGTATCCCTGTGCAGTCTGCTTTCAAATACAAGATACAGTTAAATTAAAACTCGTTATGTATACATAGGCATTCTCTGGTTCTGGGAACAGATTGGATGGCAAGAAGAAAGGTGTTGAGCCTAGTCCATCGCCAATTAAACCAGGAGACATCCGAAGGTATGTCTGTTTCATTCACTGGTCAGCAAGTGAAGGATCAGTGTTTGACCTGAGGTTTGGGGTTTTTTTTCCCTGCTCCTGCAATATAAACAAGCTAATTTGGTTGTAAGTTTGCATTTAGAAAATAAATAGTCTAATCTTCTAGACTGACTGTGATATCACTGACTACTTAAGATGCAGATCCTAAATTAATGTTGCTAAAATTCACTCGATCAACTCTAGTTCTATAGAAGACAAGTAGGGAGGTGTAGGCTGGGCTGAATTGAGTGATGCACTAAAGTGAGATTTGGTGCCGAATGAAATCTTTTTTGAGTTGAGTGAATAACCAAAGCCAAGCTATGTGTGGGTTTGTTGGCTTGGTTTTTTTTTTTTTTTCTTAGAAAGAAATTAAGAAAATTCAGACTTAGTGGAATTGTGCAGGGGGGTGGTTCCTCTGGTGGTCTGTCATTTACACCTCTCACAATAAAACTTGAACCCTTGTGGAAAAGCGTGTCCGTGGCCCTGTGGAAACCATGGGCTATGTGGAAATACGCCCACAGCCAAGCTTCTACAGCAACTCCAGTATCTGTTTGTTTACTTCACACAATGTATGCCTATCTTCAGAAAATCATTCAGAGGTTTAACTCTAGTGTGATTTGGTAATGAAAATTCGCAGCCAGTGTTAGTACAATACTGACAGACATAGGTCTCACTGTGTTCAATCGGGTGGCAGGTATAAAACTTCTTTCATAATTATTTGTATGCTTCTTTTCCAGAGGAATACCCAACTATGACTTCAAGATTGGTAGAATCACATTCATTAGAAATTCACGTCCACTGGTTAAGAAAGTCGAAGAGGTAAATAAAGTTGGATCCTTCCCAGTTTTGCCCAGAATTAGAACCGCTATCCAAGTTTGTGGTTCCTCTCGCCATACTTGATTTTTCACAGCACAGTTCTGTTAAAAAGTGGTTTGAGTTAGGTGAAAGCAATCTCCGATGTCCTTGCTTACTGATGTAAAAAGATTGCCCTGGTATAAGTTTAATAAGCCAGTGCGTACTTGTTTCAGTTGACTGAAAGGTCACTGAAATGCTCATATTTTATTTTCAAGAAGAAAGTGGTTATTGTGTAGATTAAGGATGTGAAATGTCTACAGTCAGTTGCTGCTCTGATGGAATGTTCTAATGATCATTCAGTTTTCATCACACACAAGCAGTGAGCAAAGAGGTAACAACCTTTTTTCCCTCTTTCCTTTTTGCAGGATGAATCTGGAAGCCGGTTTATTGCATTTTCAGGAGAAGGCCAGTCCCTGCGCAAAAAAGGAAGAAAACCCTAAATTGTGGTACCTTTAGTCAGTTAGGAGGAAAATAAAATAACAATTGCAGCATATTGGATCTTAGTTATCGCAGTTGAGACGAGAGATCTTTTTGCAACACAGGAACACTTTTACTGGTTTTGGTTTCATATTTAAAACCGGAGCTGTCAGACTGTCTTAATTTTCATTTGAAAATTAAGTTCTGAAGGAGCTTTTTGTATATGTTGTAAAGAGGGACAGTATATTGGATAAACCTGAGAAGTAAAACCAACAAGGTCTACCTTACTAAAAGGTCCAGTTCTTAGCCTACATCCTCCCCTCTTAGATCCTGAGTGATGATGGTCTTATGTTGCTCTGTGCTTGATACTTTCCTTCCTCTCTATGTATTTTTGCCACAATTTCAGGTAAGCTTTTTGCTGTGTTGCAAATGAAGGCTAACACTGCGGTGTTCAGGACTTTTGTGCAGGGAGTCTCTTTGATCTTAGCTTCAGGTGTTGGGTTGTAAGTCCTTCTAAGCAATCCCCCTGGAATGGCTTTTTATATTGATAATTAACAACATGCCTTTTAATAGTTCAGATACAGTAACGTGCTGTAGCAATCTACTGGGTGTAGCAGAGGCCAGAGTCAGCTTCTCTGCCTGGTGCCGGGGAGGGAGCCCAAAGCTCCGGCGTCTTGCGTGTTGGAATGGCGGCGTCAGTAATAACCTGTGCGTCCCTTCGAGTGCCGCTGCGTGGTCGCGGAGCCTTTAGATGGGTAACGGGGTGAACCCCCTCTGCTCCCTCCTGAAAGGCCGAGTAAAGGTTCCTTGGTAACCACCGTGCCTCCCTGGTGTGCTGATTTCAGGAAAAAAAGGTGTGGGGGCTGTCTCGGGGCGCCAGCGCTTTTTTCCCCCCGGGAAGAGGGGCGCGTTGGGGGAGTTGGGGTTCAAGTTGTTCTGAGGGGGGGTGGT